CCACATAAAAACACACAGCCACTTGTAGCTCCGTGCATCCCACTGTGACTAGCATGTGGTGATCCAATATTTGATGATGATATTTTCTAGCGTTGCAAACCTAAAACAAATGAAGCAACTGGCACTCGGTGATCGCTACATTTCTTAACCTGAAAGCAGCATTCAGTTCTTTCATCTACGGGGTGTTTTTGCTATGCCTGATAGCAAAGGTATTACCAAGCAAGTATATTATGCTTGAAGTTACGAAGTCATCTAATGGCTCCCTGGGGGTTGTCGTCTGAAGTAACCAGTAGTGTCCATTAAGGATACTGAATGTTGACATTCTTGTTCATCTTTGTCACAACTACACTGTTGTATGCAATTTTATTATTATTGTTACTTGTCCCTTGGGTTCCTAGTGGAACATAGGGCTTCAAGAGCACGTCCCCATTTCACTCTGTTCTCTATAGTCTTTTCAACTTGGTTCCATGACTCCCGGAAGCTTTCATTTCTTCCTCACACAATCTCCGACATGTCACCCTCGTCTCGGACACCCAACTCATTGTTTCCCCTTTAGGTTTCACTTAAGAGCCTGGTCTGGCTTGTGATGTTCCCAGTTGGTCTTTTCAGTGTATGTCCAGTCTACCTAATCCATCTTCACTTTCTTCTGCATATTTGTTGGGCGACAGGTCCTTAGTTAGTTCGTTTTCAGGTCAGAGTTTTCTGTTGCTTATTCTTACTATTCTGGCCTTCTGAACTTCAGTAACGAGTGAGCGTAGGTGGCAGCTGTTGACGTATGTCTGTAGTTTGTTGGAAATGCTTTTGGTAACGCTTCAAGTCTCTGAACCATCATATAGAAGCATTGACTTGACTAAATTAGTGCTGAAAATCCGGATCTCGTTCACGCTTTATGCTGAGTGCAGTGCAGTCGATCTCCACACTGATTCCAGATTAATGCAGGAAAGTCTTTCTTGCTGTCTTTCTGATTCTGGATTTGACGTCGTCATCTGTGCCGCCTAGGTAGGTAGATGAAAAAGATAACTTCGATTAAATCCTTCCCCTTGATGGTGATTACTACTTGTTGTTGTTGGTTGGGTATTTTCATCACCTCCGCCTTCTCTACGCTCACCTGAAGGAAGTCCCATTTTCCCTGCCCTGCTTTTTCTGTCAACTTGTTGGTTTTGACCTTTAGATCTTCAAGTTTGTGCCACAATACATTAGACATAAATCATCATCATCGGCGAAATCCAAATCCACTTCTAGGGTATTTTCATTGGTCAAACAGCGTATGCCCCTCTTCTCTCTCCTCACAGTTTGTTACATAATCTACTCGACCACAATCAGGAAGATGATCGGTGATGGTAGACAGACTTTCCTTACTCTTGTCTTCACTTCAGAGGTATCACTGAGCTTTCCACTGTTGATCACTTGACACGCGTGGCTGTCATACAGCTGCCGAATGAGGTTGATAAAGGTTTATGGCACTGAATTCTTAGTGTTGAAGCAGCTGCCAAATTACTTGTATGTAATTTTAGGTACCGCTAAAACTACAGAGATTGACTTAATCTATGTGAACACATGACTGTTAGGCAGTGACGCTTGACAAGATGCATCGACTTTTGAACACCTTAAGTTAAAATCTTGTGTGTTTTGGCGCGCATTTTGAACCTGACGAGTGCGAAATGAAACTATAAGACTGGCCTGCAACGACTAGTTTAAGGAAAAGAAGTAAATTATTAGAGGATGCTGATCATTAGAGATTGGTTAGCTACTGACAGAATTTTAGCTCGGTTTCGAAAACCCCATTGACATTTGCCAACTTTCGTTATCTCTGTTGTCGGAAAGGATGAGTATACTACACTGCAGTCCTCTTTGTTTCACCGAACAGAATTCAAGCAATATCTCTGAAAGCAGAGGATATGAGGAAGTCACAGGTTTGTGATCAAAGGTGTCTACATAGGATTGCTTGCCTGTGATAGAATCATCATTTGAATAATTTTGGATTAGGCTCAGGTGAAGGGAAGTCAGAGGATGAGGTCATAGGGCTTCACTGATTGAGGTGGCTTGGATGTATGTTGCACATACCAAGCCAAAACTAATAGAGGCCAAACTAAGATGTGACACCAGTCCATGAAGTCTCATCAAATGCCATCAGTGAGTACTTGTCCTCACGTCCGACTTGACATTGAATAAAGGTCGCACTACATCACTAATTAACCTAAGCAGGAAAACGTTGAGATCTGAATTCTAACTCGGCAGCTGAAAGTCAACATGCTTTCCATGAAACATGGTAGTCTTAGATTTTATCCCCAGCGGTGTTGTGAATACGCACCAATGAGGAATCCCACACTGGAACTAAAAGCTGTCTAGTGATCCCAGGGTTTCAATGGTTCTGCGACTGATTTCAGGCCGTGATGAATGTTAACTTGAAGTTGGCAAAAATTCAAATGTGTACGAATTTATTTTTGTTTTCCAGTGAGCCTAGTGAATATTTGGCCAACGTGACAGCTCATGCGACTCATGTAAACGGTTTTAAGCTACATTACAAATCATAGGTTATTTCTAATTTTCACAGGATGCGATATTACATTGTGTCATGAACTTTATGAGAACTTGCATTCGTTTCTTATGATTCGTTTGCTTATGTACAGTATAAGTTCTCAGTCTGTAGATGAAGCGTTCTGTCTAATGAAACATCCAACCTGGGACTAATAGTCATCTGATACATCTCTATAAATTTGTTTCTGTTTTTCGCAAGGGAAGGCATTTATCCTCAACCACTTCAGCGTTCTCTCCAAACTCAGTTTTGACTAAGCACTACGACATATCACACCCTTGATTTTATAATTGTGAGCAATGATGAATGAATCCTTTACTGCATCTGTAACATTCTAACTACTTTGTTGAATAGAGAACTAGTTTTTCTCAATAGAACCTCGTTTATTTCTTGCGACAAATAAAAGTGCTTTAGTAGATTAGGCACGCGGTTTTCTAAAGCGATTACTCATCAGCATAAAATTGAGTTAATTGGCTTGACGTTTCGGTGCAAGCTGCCTTATGAAATCGTAATAGATTTTATGTGGGTGCTGCACTTCATCCTTCTACAACATTATAGGCTTCTAAAAAACTGATTTCAAACAATTCATTATTTCATGTAGAGTACATTACCGCACTGGCTGAGTTTATCTGATGGGTAACAGAACTTTTTGATGTATGATGTGCTGCAGTAAATTGTGTGGTGCCAACCTTTGAAATATATGGGTACTTAGTCCTGAACACATTTTACAGGGTGTAACGAAGATATTGATAATGAACTGTTAACTTGTCCGATTGTTCAAGTTAACGTTGAAGAGTATTCATTTTGGACTTAACAGAGAACACTAGGTCCTTGAACTTTGAAGTCATAATACATTATGTTTTTGTAAACAGACCTTTTAAACAATCGACCACCAAGGAATAGCATACCAAAAGAAGGAATGAAAGTAACTCCTTATAAGAATTGAAATAACTGAAGTAGTTCAGTGCTAAATCATCTTCGATCCGCCATTTCACTTCATGGTGAAATAAAAACTGAGATCTTCTTTAGTATTGCACCCAATTCTTAAAGTCGATTTTCCTCAGTCAGTATTTGCGACAACTTTGTTTGGATAAAAAGTTCGGCATTAATTTTATTCAGGCGTGTTTATATTCATTTTATAGAATAATATTAATTGGTTTTTCACTTTCTAACTGCCAGCTTTCATCTCTGAAAAGATCAGCTTCCGAAAACTAAGTAATGACAACGGAACAGAATAGCTACCTTAAGCTAACAACTATCCAAATGACCCTGAACAATTAATCAGAAGTAACCGGCAATCAGCAATTACATCAGTGACAGTTAGAAGGTCATATCCTAGATGAAAATGTGTTGATATATAATGAAAGCGAAAAAGAAACATAGTATTCACACTAGATGGTTTACATAAACATTCAGTGTTAGACTTTCATAACTTTCAACTGGAATTTATATTGAAAACTAAGTTAGTTGCGATATATTCTTTCATAGAGATGGTTCATTTATCTGCCAGATTCTTTTATGCTGACCCCGAAATCCTTCGCTGGAATTCGCATTCCTTCTGCCAAGTGGATTTACGGATTCTGAATAACTAGTCGACTTATTGATGCAATAATGTAACTATAACTAGGATTATGTGAACATCACTCATTGCTATCGATATAATTCATGAACAGCCATTCATAATGATTAGTTGTTCAAGGTTATTTGACAAACTGTAGGCTTCAGTCCTCTATTGCTTAGCTTTTCCCAGGCAATAATCATGAATCAATTCTAATTAGCACAGTGATTCTTCTTCATACATTTTGTTTCTCAAAAAATGCATTGTATTTCAAATATTGTCTATTCATCAAAAGCGTGACCTGAAATACCACCAGTACATTAGAAAAGCATCTCTATAATCCTCTTGATTTCTACCGGTTTTAAATCACTTATTAACACAGATATGACTGGTTATATACGCTAATCACCTAATTAATAGAAAAATGCCTAAATTTCCATATAATCTACCAATCAAAATTATTGAAATGCTGAATCAATAAAAGACAAGTCATATGAACAATATGATTGGTTAATTTTTATTCAATCGGACCGTTTTTAATGTTGTGAAATATTTCCTTATTACTGCATTCAATAATCAAGATAAGACTAAAAAATTTTAACTAAGAAAGACCTATTAGTTTTTTGGCTCTATTGTATGGAATATTATTATTGCTCTATTTTTGAAAGGTCTAGCCAACTTGACAAGAAAGATATTGTTGCTAGAATGATTCAGTGGAAGATTCTTGATCATTGTAAATGTTACTAACCACAAAAAAGATGGAAGGAATGGAATAATTTTAAATTATTAGGTTAATCACACATGGACACTGAACGTTTTCATCAGAATGCATTAATTTAATAAGTCAAATTTACCGTGTGGAACGTTAAACTTTGAGAAAAATAGTTGTTACAACTACATCTCCTCATGGCAAGAAAATATTCAGGATTTCTAGTAGTATTTATTGCATGCCATTACGGTAAGTACTGACAAGTGTTTGATAAAATTAAACATTCTGACAATGATGGATTATTGCTTTTGATTATCCTATTAAACTCGCAGGTATTTTTAACATTTCAGGTTCGGAGTAATTACAGAATTTACAAATGGGATTGTAGTATAAAGTGAAGTGTTTTTTAAATTTAAGAGTGGTCTGATTGTCCTGAACAGCGATACTGTGAAAAAATGTGGCCACATTAAGAGCCACAGTGAAACAGTACATACTAATTGGGTGCTTACGCTCATCATGGTACTCACCAATGTATATTCATTCCAGCATGAAGCATGAGAATTTTAGATTTTGAATATACCACCACGTAATATTTTATGAGAACCATTCATCCTCAGGTGTTATGGGTCAGGGTGTTGTTTTTCTTAATTCTCAGTTCAAGTAGTCGTAGATGTCGTCACTTTCCTTAGAACTTTAGGAATTCCCCTTTCAATGTAAAACAATAAGTGGTGATATATTCATCTTCGTGACTAGAAGTGGAATCCGGACGTGCTTTTTGTCTTATCTAGAACTCGTCAGCTGGATGCACTTGCAACCCAGTGAATGATTTTGTTCCCGCTGAGACTCGAACTAGGTACCCATCACCTCAGAGGCCAGATAGTTACCCACTAGACCCCTGGGGTGTGATTACTACCTTTTGTGTAAGCACCAAGTATCAAAACAACAATGAGTTGTGACCTAATAAAATCCATATCAGTAGTTTTAGTCATTCAGTTTATGAAACTTAAAGGCGTTCAATTTAATCCTGAGAGAAATTATTTCAGGAAAGAGAACGAACTAAGTTGAGCGTGATAACAAATACTTTCCAGTGACATTGGATGATGGTCATGGCATATCTCAGGCTAACAGAAGTATGCTGTTAACCTAAATGGATCTTTAAAAACTAGAAGCGATCGTGAGACCAGCCAATACCACTTAGCAATCTTGGCTTTCGTGGCCACCGATTTCAGTCCGGATGATGTGAATAATGAATTCTGTGAGAAGCTGTGAATTTAGTTACAAAAATCCATAAATTCAAATGTAGTCCCAATAGCAGATAACTTCAACAACCAAGTAGGGAATCTGAGACATTCGGAAAGACATCTCGCGGTTATCTACAAAATCTCATGCCAACATGCCGATAATGATGGTGATCTTCGGCAATTTTGTCCCTATAATCAATTGTTTCTCACCAGCACTGACTGCAAGCATAAAAGAGTGGCACTGTCTCACACGACGTCCGCCGACATCAAACTAATGATGGATATAGATAAATCATGTTGTTATATGTCATCTTTGGAGAGGGTCGGTGGAGGATTGACACTGTTCTTGAAGTGCCTGATTGGATTCATATCATGCGTTAGTACGGCCTGGTGTATGTCTGAGCCTTACTGATCTCAGAAAACATGCGGTAGTAGGGCTTATCTGTGATCGACTGAAAGATGAGAACGTAAAGTGTGCATTTAGGGAGGAGATAGCAAAGAATGTATCCGAACATGACAGTAATGTTCATCTTGAGGTAACCTGAAGTCTGCTGTAGAAATAGTGCTAAAAACAGTTGGTAACCTACATCCCAAGGCTAGAAAACATAACTGGATTTCCGCAGCTTCATCGAAACAGGCTGATGCAAGAAAACCAATTCCAGCTGGCCTTGACCACAATGAAGAGGGAAAGCAAATTAAACGTAACTTGACCAAGAGTTTTCACAATGATCACGAGCAGTGGTGGGTGGTGTAATCAAAAAGGACGGAGAAAGCATTACTATGTAATGATACCTGGGATTTATTTGGGCTTATGGAGGATATTGGCAAGAGGAAGACAATGATCAGTGGGACTGTCATGGATGCCTACCTGCCTGATAACCTCTTAGGACAGGTGGGTACAACGTTCTGTGCAAAACACTTCGAAGCATAGTTCACCTGGCCTGCAGCAACATTTCGGTTGCTCCGAATTCAGTCAAAAACTGAAAGCTCCCTAAATGTCCACCCTCCGAATTTCCCACTTTCACAAGCCTGTTGCAAACTTAAAACGATGCCAACCAACACGACCTGACCGTTTATTCCCAAACATTCTAAGGGAGCATATGGAAAATTACTGAGTACAATAGCCCAGGTACTAAGTAGTGTATGGCAATCACAAGGAGTCCCGTCACACTTATCTGATCCTCTCAGCATTCTAGTTCATAAGAAAGAAGAGAGGTCTTCTTGTCATAAACAAATGAGAATCATTTTAGCCTGTTTATTAGAAACGTCACACAGTGAAACAGTATGATACAGTTGCAATGTTCCATAGTACCCAAGTTTTACTCCTATATAAAATGAGAATCAGTTGAAATAATCTATTGTGTCCAAGACCCTTGAGTTCGCTGTAATTCGTCACCTAAATGCAGCTCGGAAACACTAAACTCCAGAAAACCAGGTATGCTTCAAACCTGGAAGAGGGCGTATCGGTAACATCTTCGTCCTTCAACATGTTCTAAAACGCAGACATATTCACCGGTAGCCAACACTTGCCATATTTCTTCACCTGCTGCATCTGACTACTGCCGCTGCTAGGTGCTGTGGCAACGTCTGGTTGTCAAGAAAGTACCGTGCGAGCACGCAATCCCTGATCAAGGCTTTCTACTCAAAATCGCATACCTGTGTATAAGGGCTAATGGAGAATAGACACCTGAATTGGCGACAACTAGTAATATCCTCCAGGGGTACCCCTGAAACCTATCCCGTTTGATTCCGTCATGAATGTACTAATGGGCACAACCTTATTTGCGTCTGACTTGATTCGAATTGACCTACTCCTTGGAGGTCATCTGGTTGACTTGGAGTGGGCAGTCAGTGTTGTCCTGTTAGTTGAAGACGCTGACATAATGTAGGATCTACTGAAAGTCTTGGGAGAAAATCTGAGTATGTTTGGCATGCGTTTCGCACCTGTCAAATGTAAAATGATTTTTCAGGAGTGGTTTGTAACTACTCTCAGTTTAAGGATAGGGAGTCAAGTGACAGAACGCGTCAACCGCTTCATTTACTTGGAGATTTGCATCGGTTTGGTTGCTGATGAAATCTCAGTCCTGATACATAAGACCCGTTCGGCACTCTCCAAGCTGTATCATCTCTGTCACCGGCTAGAGAGATATTTGACTACCAGTTGTAAGCCTTCAGAGACTGTAATGGCTTGAACATATTTTGTGGATCCCGATTTACCGCCTACCTCGTTATGTCATGCTGGGGGAAATTGGATTCGTTTGGAAGCAAAATCAGACTGGCTAGACCAAGACGTAGGATCAATCTATGAAGTCTCACACTATTGGTTTGAGCCGCGGGAGATGTAGACTATTTGAATGGGGTCTCCGAGACTATAGTAGTCACTGGTTTAGGACTCTTGGTGATATTTCCGGAAATCGATCACAGTGGTGCAGATGAATTCGCTCTTTGACGTCTTCTAAAGGTTTAGTATTTCCACTAACCTTGATCTTAAAATTGCTTCTTCTCTCGTACAACTTTGTCTACTTTGATATCAACCTCGTTCTGTCCACTTGTACTGCTGCTACTTCTATGAAGTGTGGCAACTTGAAGTAATGCACTCCTTTGTGAAGTTTGACACTGATTTTGTTGACCTGTCTGTCTCAAAAAGTATGCCTGTGTAAATACATTCTTATCCTTTTTTAAAAGGATATCATCTTCCCGCTTAGTAAGCATTGTGCTGTAGTACGCTATGTCTTCATATACTCATGTGGTTCATTAATTTATGATATGTGCCTTTTTCTGTAGCACTTTAGGTATTTTAAATAGAATAAAACACCCCATGATTTGAAGATTTTAGTTTCTAAATGAAACTTCAGTGGAACGACTGTAGTCAAGTAATTCATACTACTACTTTCGAAAACTGTAGGTCCGATGGACGAATACAGGGTGTTTGAAATTAGTAATCATATGTATGTAAATTTTTGATCAACAACAAGCTGCATTCTGCGAAGCCAAAAGTACTCAACGATCATCAGGATAGTTGTTGTTGCAATTGGCTCATTTACCGTAATAATCAGAAATAAATTCACGTAAATGATGATATATTACTTTGATTTTCATCTCCGTTAGTAGTTTGAAATCCAGTTTAAGAATAAATCAATTCCTTATGAAAAAGCAAAAAAGAATTATGCACCAATAGCTTTTTTAGTTCCTATTAGAAAAAAACTCACTTGAAAAGTATGAAAGATTTGTGAAATGGTTGTTTTAGATCGTGGGAAACACTTTTTCTTTCACTTTCATGGATTACTTTGCAGCCAACACTCTTAACTAAACAAAATTTAGCTAAAAATAATGATATAATGCAAATTCAAGTTCTTGAAGAGTGCTATTGGAAGTAAAGCTGAAGTAGTCACTGGCTTTTAGAAGTTATGTATAAGTATATTGACTAAGCGACAGTGCCGGCTAAATATTGCATCAGGAAATGGGAATTCAGATTAACGCTGTTTAGTTTTGTCCAAAAATACAAGGGTAAAAGTCGAATCTACCGTTTCATCTGTCCAAGAAAAACCATGAGTTTTATATTCAAAGACATGAGAGCTAGTACTGTTATGTCAACATAAAGGTATTCCACAATAAATTGTGATTACTCGAGCATACTAAGTGCACGCGTGCATCAAGTGATTAATAGAACCAACATATGGTGATTCACTTTGGTTAAGATAAAAAATATTACTTGGCATTAACAGTTTGCAGTCCATCTGATCCACCGCCTTCCTTGACATGTTGTGCTGGAGGAGGTTAAATTAAGTTGGAAGATGGTTCAGGGTGGTCTGACCAAAACCTGGCACCATTCCATGAAGTCTCTCACTGTTCATATGAGCCGTATGGGGAGATGTGGAATGTATGGTTGGGGTCCCCGAAATGAAGGGAATCAGTGGTTGAGGACTCTTGATGACATGGCTGGAAACCGGTTACATGGTGCAGATGTATTCACTCCTTGACATCTCAAGTTTGAATATGTGCACTATT